CAATTTATGGGGTTGATGTTGGAAGGTAGAAAGGAAGGGCAGAAGGAAGACAAAGAGGGAAGGGGAGAGCGAAGGAAGAAGGAAATAAAACCCAAATGTCAGAGTAGAACTTTAATTCTAGTGTGGCATGTGCAAGCATGTGTGTTACATGTGTGCTAGATCAGAAGGTAAGATGCATTCTTACTGTGGCTACCATAAAAGTAATTTGAAAGCAAGGGCCCTAAAGGTCATTACACTCTGTGCTGTGGACCACAGTGCAATTTAGGGCCTGACTGGAAGTGAGATGAAGATAAATGAATGGGGATGTGCCTGCTAAGAAAGGGCTGAACAAGAAAGAACTGCACTGTTATGAAACTGTACTTACATTTTCGAGGCAAAACTGAACATTAGAATTGAAGAATTCAAGCAAATTATACAAATCTTCAGATAAAGAAATGAAATCTTTTCCTTTAAGGAGTTTTTCCTTTTCCCTGGGTCTCAAAGAACACCAGTGGACACTGTCCAGAACCAGATAAATAGAGCACAGCCCCCTGCGCCTTGGTGTAAAAGCCAGTAGCATATGTAAGGGAGGACTGGAGGCTTTAATCAGCAAAGCATCACAACGTGCTGTTTCTTTTCCACCTTACAGGAAAAGAATTAAAAACCTAATACTCATCTGTCTTCTGCGATTAGCCAGGTATTAGTGCCATATAAATTTAGCTGGAGAGGAAGTTAGAAATGTCCTTGGCACTCAGAACCAAAGAATAAATGTTGGTTGGAAGAACCTGAAATTGAACCTAGTTCAACATCTTCCTTTATTTATTTATTTATGCATGTATATASTTAATTTTATTTTTTTTTAACTTTTTGCAGAAGAGGAAGCTAAACTATGGTCTTATGCTATTTCATTATTTTAACATTACTCTTGACTTTTATTTACCATTGATTGCAAGGTTTAATGTCAGTGGGCTGCAGATGGATAAAAGAGAAGAATAATACAACATACACTATTCATTTTCCTCCTCAAGTGCATACTCCTCGTGGGCAAGGTTTATGCCATTCATCTCTGTATTTTCTTTAGTGTCTACTGTGGTCAGGAAAACTAAATAAGCTAATATCTGCAATGCTCTTAGCAGAGTGAGCTACACACGGTAAGAGAGAAGTACTTTTGTATTTGTTTTTGTTGTTTTGGTTATGAGTACTATAATCATTGAATGCCATACATAAGAAATTCTTCCTACTATTGATCGTCTCTGCACTATACAAAAAAATAAAACCAGAATCATAATTTATACACTTAAATTCTTTTTATTTGAAGGGACATTAAAAAATCAGAGAGTTCTTATCTACTTAAGGCATTTGAAGTAAATGAATGAAGACATAATAATTCCAATCAGCGAAAAATATCCAGAAAATACTTTCTTAATCATATGAAAAGTCAGTAGACCAGGGATTCATGATTCACAAAGATAATCTTTCTAATGACAGTATAAAGTCTTGTATAAAGTGAAGTGCATTTTTTCCCTGGGTAAGAATCAGACACAAGAGCTATGGCAACGACTGAAGTTTGGAGCTTGGTGTCCATACCAATTGGCAAGGGCTATAAATCCTAAAAGCAGAATACAACCGCCTTGCATCTTCCACAGACAAAGAATTGAACAAACATTGAAACATGAAAAGAAATGAACCACAGTCTATTTTTTTTTTCTGGTGATTCTGACAATGTTAAAGATTTTTTTTTCTCATATCTTACAAGCTCTATAGCACCTTTCCCCCCTGCTACTTTTCTATTGTATAATTAGCATATAATTATGTGCTCTTTCACACTGGAAAGCCTACTCTTTTATTAATGACTTGAAGAAAGTCTTCATTATTTATCTTTGAAAGTGAGTTTAAAATAAAAGGCATAAATGACTTTCCCTTTCTTTCTTTTTAACTTAGGAAATCTTAAAAAAGTATYACAGATCTTTATGAATGTCAGAGATAGTCCTAAATTTTCCACCTTTAACAATGAGAACAGGAAACAAATGTTGCATCTTCTTATTCTATTCCATTAAATATTTGGGGGTTTGAAGAACAAAATATTGACGTTACCAAAAGGGCTGTCTATTCCTTGCCTTTCCCCCTTTTTAGCACAGAAAATGGGTCAGAACAAAAAAGCTTCCTAAATTTAGTTCAAAGACAGAAGGAGGATATAATTCACATTTGTAGTAAGTATGATGTAGGTTCCAAATCACTCTTAGATGAGCTCATTCAGCCCCAGATTTGTAGTCAGTTCTGGAAGGTACCTCACATCTCTGCGGAGGCCACACAAGCCTCACTGCTGTTTTGGCTGACTGCTTTTTTTCTAACATTAGGCTTACTGGAGCACTCCAGATTGGATATGGGCAATTATAAGGGAGGGTGTGCATTATTGCAAATTTTAATCATTTTTCAAGCCATTTTGCTTGCAGCAATGATCCCCTATGACCAACATATCTTACATAAGAAACACAAATAGTTTTTGGCTGAGAGCAGCTCTTGAGTTACTTTGTAACCTATTGCTGCTTAACTTCTGGACTTGGCATTTAGTGGGTAGGACCTTTCCAAATTAGGTTCTAACTATTTCTAGACACAAGGGAGCCACAGCTACCATATTCAACACTGGCAAGTAGATAATAATACCAGTGATTAAAATATTGAATCAAGTTCTTTTCAATAATATCATTTCTATGTAAGCACAGAGGTAATTACCTCTACCACGCTCCCTACAGGTAAGATACTATTGTGTCAAGGGCTATTTCAAGAATACTTCTTATCCCCTATACTTTTTGTACCATTTCAGTGGGGATGGCACAGCAGTAATGACCTTATTACCTTAGAAACTCTGCTTTTCTTTGTAGCATCAGGAAAATTTGCTCAAACTGTTTTTTGTGATCCAAACTAACCCTTGTAATTACACATCTTTGCCTAACCATTTGGAAGGCTATGATGTTTCTTTAATTGGAGTTGTTTATGCATCTCCATTTTTTCCCAGCAATATTTTTTCTAATGAAGGGGAAGAAAGGATAATCATAATTAACTTTGATTTTACTCAAGAAGATCCTTCTTTCAAGTCTCCTTATCTTCTATTATAAATTATGGTATCTCTTTTTTAAAATGGGAATCACAGAGTCTTAGAATCATTAGCTATATTGAAGGTAATTTAATCCAAACATCTACTGTTGCATAAATACTCTCTGTAATATCTTAAGTGAAGACCTCCATTATTTGCTGTTTTGGGGGGCAAAAGAGATGAAAGAAAGATAGGAAGTGTCATATAGTATGCCCAGGACAATATATAAGCAAAACAGGGTCCGGATGTGGCTCCACATTTCCCTATTCATTGTCCTCAGTCTCCTATCCATATAGTTTCATTTCATTGGAAAGAACTTTGTGAAGCGAAGACTCCATTGTAATTTTGGATCATTGAGAATATAGCCAACAGGGAGTGAAACAGCTCTTGTAAAAATCTTCTCTGTGAGATTTTGGATCACATGGTCTTGACCTTTTTGTTTCAATGATCCAGAAAGTTAAAGATATTTTTAAAGGTCTACCTAATATGAAGGAGACTTTTATTGCTATTACTTAAGAATAAGTTAAATCATAAGTACAAAATACAGGTTAAGCAAATAGGTTTTGGAATGTGGTTGTATGGTTTAAACTCTGATGTCCCGATAATTAGCTTTATGATCTTGAGAAGTCACTTAACTTTTTTAAGTTTTGGTTTACTCATCTGTATAAAGGAGATAAAAATATTATCTCCTTCACTGGGTCATTAAGAGGAGTAAATGAACAAATTCATTTAAAGCACTTTGTTCAGTATATAGCATATGTTTTAAGTATCCAATAAATGTTAGCTTCCCCTTGTTCACTGAAGTAATAAAAACATAGAATTTGGTTCAAGAGATCTTGCCATTTTTTTTTTCATTTTTGTTGCAGAATCTCAAATCTTTAGTGAATTTCAATGACCTTTATTTTAGACTCAGACCTAACAATGTTAAGGGAAAAGAAAATAATTTCATAGTGTAAACACCTTACAAGGAAATTTATTTCCAAAATGTTTTTAATTAATTAGTTTTAATTATATCTTTTGCTAACTCACTGAATAAAAATTATTCTAACTTACTGATCATGCACTTAGTGAATTTTGGAAAAATGTGGCAACATTTAACAAATTAAAGTAAAAAATAACTTGACAAAGTATGCTTACTTTTTGTGCTACTTGAAACTTGATCTCTTTTTTTTGTATATCTGATCATCACACATTGAAAACACTACTTGACTGACTAAAATATATCTGAATGAGATTATAAAATAATCTCTTTAATATGTCCAGACAAGGTTTAAAAAACTGACATGTCAAACAATATCACAAATAAACCAATCTTTAGATTTATGCTACTCCTTATTTTTCCAGTATAACAAAACTTTATTTACTCTACAAAAAAAAATTCAAATTCATATTCTGCCAGTCCAGAATAACCATATGGCTCATTAACAAATCAAAGAATAAAGTGATTGTTCACTCCTTTCCTATTCCCCAACATCAGTCATTGCAAAGCTGAGATGCATCCCTGTCTTAGGAATATTCTTTGTACTTTGGCCCTGATTGTGAAACTTTCCACAGTAACCAGTACAATAATTGCAATGATTCTTCTTATACATCAGAAGAATTAGAATTGGGGTCACCTTCCCAGCATTTAACATGCATCCTCAAGGGGTTCACATTCCTGGCAGTATCTCATGAGGAAACAGTGTTTATTTATCTGAAAACAGTATTTATTTATCTGATGGCATGAGAGTTGATGGTAATTTATAGAAGATGTTATTCAGAAATAAAAATGTACTATGGAAAAAAATGAATTAAGGAAAATGGAAACACACTATGCAAAACCACACTTTCTCATTCTATAACCACCACTTGCAGATGCTACTGCATATACCCCATTCTCTATTGATTCAGAGACATTTCACTTTTGCCATGCTGGATTTCCACTTACCCTTGTTGTTTTCACTTTATTCCCAGAAGAACAGCTCCATCCTTTCCGATCTGGAAGAACTTTACACTCCTCTCCCTCCAAACATGGCTGCATATGACACCACCATTTCTGTTCCACTATAGATGCTACAACAGAGAGAAAAATTGACTCCATGTTTTCTATTAAGGACTGTTAGAATAGTCTGGGTGCACACTTAAATAGAAACAAAAGTCACTGATCTAACTAAAAAAATATTTAGCAAAAATTTATAAAGAATTTTCCTTTAAAATTTTTTATTGTGATAAGCATATTGAACTGACATTTACAGTTTTAACAAATTTCTAAGTGAAAAATACAATGGTGTTAACTATAACCACAATATTAGAGATATTTCATGTGAAAATAAAGGCTTTATGAAAACAAATATTTTGATAATAAACTATGTGGGCATATGTCCATGCACTGATTTATACAAAGAGGAGAAAATGAACACATGACCAGTTTAAAATCAATGTAATATTTCCTATCAATAGAATGAAAATCTGGAGGTTGTTAAATGGAGTTAAACACATTTTTCTTATTTTTATCATGAGCACCAATCTCATCACAATAAATACATCACCTAACAAATTACTGTTTATGGTAACATTGATTAAATGGACCCATAGATTTATATTATGCTATAATTAGGCAAATCCTAAAAGAACTAATATTTTCATGCATCTTCACAAAATCAATATTTTTGTGAATTCTATCCACAACCAAACATTCACTCATGTATATGGTGTTAACTTTTTCCATTCCTAAGAACAATTTATTATAGATTTAGGAATCTATGGTGTTAAATAATCTATTTTCATCTTGCCTTTCGAAATTAATTTTTACATGTCCCTCCCTTTATCATCCACCAGAAAATCAATATTTCATGATATCAAAATAAGAAATATGTTGACTTAACAGAACCTCATTATAATCCTTCCATAGCAGAACTGCATAAGATCTTATATCTCCAGCTAAAGGATTTTAGATTCCAAAATGTCTCCTAAATAACTTCACTTCAGCCATGTGATTCATAGTGTGGTCCCCCAGGATTGACTCCAGGTGACAACATGATAGTTGGTTCCAATACCAAGCAGTCCCCACTACACTCCCACAATGAGCAATGGAAGAAGTCGCACCATCCACACAAGACGGAGCCGCTCGTGTGGTGCCTGCCACCTGCCCGGGGAAGCAGGAGCACTTGACTGTCTGTGATCGTTCTTCTATCTTGTTTTTATTACAGCATCTGTGGAGTGCCACCACCTCGCAAGTTCCCGTTTTAACATGGTGAGCTGTGCAAACAAAAACAAAAGATAAAACAACGTTGAGGAAGCTATGGACACTTCCCTCCCTCTTTTTAAATTAGAAGTACATTAAATATAGCTCTATAAGGGATCCACCATGCATGAAACTAGAAAAACAATGATGCTAACTCCATAACGCAGATTTGATTTCTTTTCTAAATGTGGTGAGACCACTTCTGTCAGTAAATGCTCGGTGAAGCAGGAACAATTAGTGACCAAATTAGAATGAGCTGTTAAAACAGTCTGAAATATAGAGGCAATATATGGAACTATCAAAAGTATATTAATTTGCAGATGACTTTTTTCACACATTTTTGTTCAACATATTAATCAAGTTAAAGTAAACCCTGTACAAGGTACCCTGCAGTGGAGCTGAGGTCAGCCCCCTTCTCAAAATAGTTGAGTTATTCTCTTCTTCAGAGGTAGAGTGTGAAGCCAGGCAAAGAATATTCTCAGGAAACAGGAGGCAGAGTGTGAATATCATATCCTTAGCATTCTTCTGCACAGTTTCCCTGGAAATGAACTAAGAGGGTGATTCTTGAAATTACCACCATTTTCCTAGAAGCCCAGCCAGTCTCGGGACCTAGACACTTATTTCCTTGTCATTTTGCTTGAGTGACAACTACCACCAAATGGCACCAACTGTAGCCAGAAATTGGATGGATTACATCTATCAGCCAGCCACCTAGAACCCGGTCCCCTAAGCTGTCAGCATCCTATATCTATTTTGTTAACCTCCAAGTGAGGCTACTGAACTTTTGGGGTGACTGAATTTTTAGGACCTCACTTGTCACATTCTGACAGGGTTTTGTTTGTCTTTATCATTATTATTTTCCCCACATTTCTTCTTCAAAGTATTAATCCTTCTGGGAAATGATAAAGCATAAATTTCTTTGGCTAAAAGTAACAACTTAACAAATGTAAAAGCTTAAAATCAAATATTCATTGGAAGATTATGGTTTCAAAAATTTTAAAACTGTGATTGACATAAAAACAGAGATTTAAATAGAAAAGAAGGAAATCTGAAGTTGTTTAAAGTTATAAAAATATTGAAACCCATTATAAATGAGATCAGCACAGCATGCATTATATTAACTTTGCTCTTGAAGATGAGAGGAACCAATGTATAGTAGATCAGGTTAGAGAGCTTATATTTTACTGAGAGAGGGCAAATCACACACATATCAGTTATCTCTCATTCTTCCATCTGAGATCAAAAAACTCAGGTGTGACACACAGCTTTGACACGTTATGGTTTAGATGTGGTGTCTCCCAAAATCTCACTTGTAAGACAATGCAAGAAAGTTCAGAGGAGAAATGACTGGGTTGTAAAAATCTTAAGTCAATCAGTGAATTGATCCCATGATAGGGATTAATGAGAGGTCATTGAAGTGGTAGGGTGTGGATGTAGGAAATGGGAATTGGGGCATGGTTTTGGGGTATGTATTTGTATCTGGCAAGTGGAGTCTCTCTCTGCTTTCTGATCATCATGTGAGCTGCTTCCCTCTGCCACACATTTTCACCATGATGTGCTGCCTCACCTCGACCCCTGAGGAATGGAGCCGGCCTTCTATGGACTAAGACCTCTGAAACTGTGAACCTTCAAATAAACTTTTTCTTCTTTAAAATTGTTCTGTTCATATCTTTTAGTCGCAGTAGTGAAAAAGGTGACTAAAACCACACATAACACTCAAGAGTGCATTTAAGAGGTAGATACTATTTTCAAAGTTACAAATATTTTTCTGCCACTGTTCTTATGAGGATGTTCTCTATATTTGATTCAAACACAAATCTTTGATTATGAAAGCTAAAAAATTAAGAGCTAGACTTCTATTCTTATCAAATGTGCTCTAGAAAATATGTTTTAGTTAACGATAAGTCAGTTCATTTCAATTTCCTGAGTACTTTACATCATACAAGTTATAGTGCCTCTACACTGCACTCAGTCACATTGTAAAGGAGTGAATACCACAAAGTAGGCATGGTTCTGAGTACTGGAGATGCAGCAATGACATAGGAGAGACATAGACTCTCCCTGGCCTTGAAAAGCTTCTATTCCTAGGAAAGAAAACAAGTATAATCACATAAATTAGTGATTAAGTAAGTTAATGTTTGATTTTTAAGATTTTTTAAAAATATGTTTGAGAGTGATTACACAGAAAGGGAGTGTGTGAGTGTATATATATATATGGGGGGGGGAGACAGTCTCAGGGAATATCTCTCTGAGGAGATAGTCAGTTGACTCTTGAGAAGGAAGTATCCATTATGAAGATCTAAGTCAGGAATAACATTCCAAACAGAAGGAGCAGAAAATCTCAAGACCCTGAAATAGGAAAAAGTGTGGCATGTTCCCAGGGCAGCAAGGTAGCCAATGTAGCTGAATGTGCAATGATTGAGAGCACATGCTAAGCCTCCTCTGATCTCTCCCCTGGGAAAAGAGGCATCTTTGCAGCACCAGGGATATGTTACCATCTTCATTGAAGGGAAATTTTCTTATATATTAGAAAAGGAAGGAAGGAACGAAAACTTTGCATCTGGTTTCTCCTTAATGCCATCACCAACATTCATGTCTACCTTGTCTGACAAGGAAAATAGTAAGATAAAGTATCCATGGTAAGTGCTTTTTGCCACATAGTTCTGTTTCTCTCCCTTCTGGATGCAAGGTACTTTTGTACTTCTCCATCCCATTGATGTGGGATTGTGACTTACTTGGCCTAATGAAATGAAAGCTAAAGGACTATGAGGCATTTGAGAGGAAGCAAAGGTCATCAGTTCTCTGTGTAATATGCTTTTAAAAAGCTAGTTTACTTAAGAACTGATGTGTTTCTCTCCCCCAGCCAAAGTGACCAATGATGTCCATGAAAGTCGAGAGTACAGCAACTTGAATCCCCAGAGTTAAAGACATGAACAGAGTCTCCCCTATGAAGACTCACCACGACGATCAAATAAGAAAGAAACTGATACTGTTATACACCCCTAAAATTTGGAGTTTGTTATTGCCACAAATCTAGCCTACCTTGTCTATACAATAGTTCCCTCCCCAGGTCCCCAATTGTTAAGTAGTAGGGTGTACTTTTCCAAATTTGTTAGCTGGAGAATAAGTCAATGAAGTCCACTCTCTCAAAATCTGGATCATTGTAGTTTATTTGAGCCCAATGAAGAATAAAGACTAAAAAGACATTGCTAAAATACTTAGATATTAATATAATTTGAGGAGTTGTAAGGAATTATCCTACAGTGTGGTAATTACMTTGGCTCAGTTTGATATGTCAGAACTCTGGAGAAGAGTGGGCTTCTTTCTTCTTTGAAGATGAATGACGTGAAATGTGGCATGGTACAATGATGAGAAGATAATGTGGTAGAAGATAATATGGTAGCGACATTGGGAGGAAGAAATATGTCTCCCCTCAGAGAATATGRCACTAAATGTTATGAGATTAACTGTAGAGGTAACCAGGAAGAACAAGTCAGAGTCTGACAGATACTGGACTCTCCTGCCCTGTCCTTTCTCCTCACAGCTTATGAATACAATGTGCAGAAACACAGGCTGAGTTTCCTGAAGAGAAATGGGACTTTGTGAAAATTACTCTTGCCCTTTGTTCTTCTTATTAAACTTAGGTGTAAACCTTTTTTGTGTGTGGGGGGAAAAAGAGAGAGAGAACGAACATTTTTAAAATCTCCACAGATGGTAGATAGATGAAGACCCCTTATGCTCAAAGAATTTGAAGAAATAGGTAGCAAAAACATCAACTGTTCAATATTTGCGTATATGTCTATAAATATGCCACGTAAAGTGAGATATCCCACACAAGGAAAACAATCGTAGCAGAATTTAGTTCACCTGAGCATGGTATAAGTGCATAAATATGTATGTATGTAAATGTGTAGTTTCCTTATCTGTCTGCTGGTTATTTTAATTTCCTATTACGATAACAAGATTCTTGTAGACAAAGACTAATTTTTCATGTAAACTTCTCAGTATGTGGTATGGGTTTAATAAATGGTAAACAAGCAATTTAAGAAGGTAAAAACTAATTCCTGTGGTTTTTCCTGTAAAAGGTTAATGAGATGGTAGGAAATTCAAGCTAGAATTCTCTATATAGATTCAGACAAAGCTCATGATAAACTAATCTAATCAAATATTAGGGCTTTYCACATTAACCGAATAGGCTTCACAGAAAATCATTTAGCATCATGTTAAAATGATGCAAGACCCCCTGGAGAAGATTTAAATGAAAAAGAACAAACAACCCATTTTCTTCATGTCACAATTCCCAAGTCTGTCTCTCTCTCCCTCTCCACACACACACACAMAAAAAACTTTTTGATATTTTTCCTCCTTGGAGGTGATGCAGAAACACAATTGTGTTGCTTCTACACTTTTGCAAAATGCCAACACAGACATATAGGTCTCATTAAATTCTCATGAAACCGGGACAGCAAGTCTTAGCCAGCTCTAACTCTTGCCTGTCAAGGTGATGACCCTTATATCTCAGTTCCACCTTGGGACTGCCATCCCTAGAGTGCTCCCAAAACATGACCTTAGAATCAGACCTTAAGATTCCCAACTGTTATGCAAAATTATTATGACTGGTATATTCTGGCATGAAATCCCATAAGACATTTTACCAAAATTTTTGTTTCCAACTTCCAGAGGAAAACCAAATTAAATGGCATTTAGTTTATATATATATGAATATATTTTTAAAATTATATATAACAAGTAACATTCAGTTAATAATATATACATAGTATGCCACATTTGATTTATTACCTATGAAACTACCATAGGTGCATAGGTATGAAAAATGGGTTTTTAGCAAAATAACATTTATACAAATCACAGATTTCGAGTAGTGGTTTCTGGTCTTATGTTAATAGTCATTAGCAAACAACAAGAGATACCTACATTCTATATAAAAAAATTCACATACTATAGAAAAAAATATGGAATAATGGTAATTGCTAATATTTTAAAATATTTATCA